GTATATAAGTCACAGGACCAGCCAGACCATGAAAAGAAGTGTGACTTATAGTCCGGAAAATACGGTAGTTATAGATTTTGTAGCTATTTTGCTAACCTGGCTAGCCATCCTAAATATGTGCACTGTATTGAAGATCAAATGAGTTTCTCTTTTTCTTTTCTAAATTCAACTTTTTAAAACTAAATTTTTAAATACCAAAAAAATACAATTGTGTTTTTATAAACTTAAGTCATTTTTGGAAGGGGTGGGGGTGGGGGTGGGGCGGCGAAGGCTTTGAAGACATCTAAAGTTGCTTGAACTTTCTGGTGCCTTTTTAGTGGTGAGTTTATGTGAATAGTCGTGTTGGGCATTGAGCATTGATTGGAACGGGGATTCAATTTTAGATTTTCCCAGAGTCGTTCAAGTTTTTAAATTCAGACTTCTAGTTTCCATACCCAGTCCGCCAGCAGGACGAAGAAGCTGCCGAATACCAACGAAGAAGAATCTGCTGGACGCGTTACATTGTAATCACGGAAAACACGAGGAGTGTGGCTTCACTTCATAAAATTAAAATTCACTGAGAGGTTCAGACCTTTTCACCTCCAGCTGGGGTTTGCCGGCTCATTTAACACACTTTTTGGTTTTACACCAGAGTCATGAGTCTGTAGGACCCTGAATGGAAACCAGGGCCCTCATTTATCAAATGTGCTTATGCACAGATGTGTGTGTAGGAACTAATATATGCATTGTGTGGTGTTCTAAAACCTATAGGTCACGTGTGACCGACAGGAATCTGACATCATCTGATTTACTCTTTCCCATTTTTATGATGTTTTTAATCTTTTTTTTAATTGTAATGCATTTCTTTTATTGTCCTTGTGAAGCACCTCGTGAATCTTTAGAGGTGCTACATAAAGATTGTTTCTTATTATTATTAACATTGGAGGATGTGGCTGAGCGTGCATGCTGGTGCCGGTGCCGGTTCCTCCGTGAGCGCTCCGATATTCCTGAAAAAGATCCTTCTAGATCCATGCTGTGATCTGGGACCCGTTGTGGAGCGACAGGCAAGCCACACAAATCCGATTCCAGGTCATAGTTTATTTTACAACTACAAGAACCCCCCAGAACCTCCTCTGCTCCCCGATCATACACGTGTTGCCATGGTAACCAGACTGGCCGACCGCTCGGAGGAGGCTGCACTATAAACAGACTATATCTAAATCTGACAGGAACCTCTCCTCTGTCCCTCCCGACCGTCTTTACTGCTTGCTTGGTTCTGTTGCACTCCAGCAGCCAGTGTCTCCATCTCCCTGTAAAGTTTTTATTTCTTTGGGAATAACCCAGGGAATCCGTTCGTGAGCTGCGGACGTGGTGTGTCCAAAAAGGGTTAGTTTAGGGCGTTTCTGTATGTAAATGACAGTGAGCGGACACGAGCACCGAGAGGTCACCGCATGTTTCACAAATTAGGATTTTGACCGTTTGTACGAACATTCAAATTTCGTTCATAGGAAGGAATTTAGGAATATTTCTACAAACGTTTGATGAACGAAGGCCCTGGAAATCGTTCTAATTGAAACAACGCCCAACCCTACCAGTATGGCTTAACCAGTATCTAACTGGGTTGTGCCTGACTGTAGGAGACTAGTTGTGTCGGTATTACACCTCCAACCTTGTCTGATGTTTCAGACCGGGTCAGACTCACAGAAACCAAACAAACGCCTCTGTGGGTTTCCTCAGAAGAAATCTTTTCCTCACATTTTCTAAATTCCTGCAACAAGAAGAATGAAGGAAAGTTGAGAGTTCTCCCAAATGTCTCTAGACGTCACGGAGACTTGGTCGCAGCCCTGCGAGATTCTGGTTTTAGGGCCCATTTGTTGGTGGAGGTCAACTATGAAGAAACATGCAACTAGGCGGATCAATCCGTGCAGTCCTAGTGTAGCCCCCACATCCACAGCGGGTGTGTCCTTCAACCGTGGAGCGGTTTGCTAAATCAACCCTTTCATTGACTTGTAATGATTTGGATAATCCAGGTTTGTTGTTATTATTGTGTGTGTGTGTGTGTGTGTGTGTTTACCTGAAAACTGAGGACATCAGTACCAAAATGAGGATATTTTGCTGGTCCTCACCATGGTGTAAATTAGGGCTGCACGATATTAGGAAAACCTGCGATATTCGATAACCGTGATTAATATTGCGATGACGATATTACTTGCGATAAATAAAAACTTAACTCAGGAACAAAAATAATCAAAAACAAAGAAATTAAAAATTCATGAAAATGAGAAAAGCAAAAGATGTGAAGAAAGGGAAAAAGAAAATGAACACGAAAAGACAATCGGTGGATCCCTGGAAAAGCACAACGAAGCTAACTCGGGTGTTTGCTAACCATCAAAATGAAGTGCCGTCCGCCTCGGGGGCGGGCATCTAACCTACGAGAACCCACCCGATTGGCCAGATGGGTGAAGAGCTCCATTTGATTAGTTAAAAAAACCTCATGCTTCTGTTTGATAGAACGCATCATGTGTAGCAAACATTTGAGCTGACCCTTTACTGCGACATTTATCTGTTCTTTGCGATATGCATATTGTGCACGCTGATATCGCGATAACGATATATTTACAATATATTGTGCAGCCCTAGTGTAAATTAAGTTTTAGTTAAGGTTAGGAGTAGACTGGTTATGGTTAAGGGTTAGGCACAACCCAGTCACTGAAATGAATGGAAGTCAATGACGGTCCTCACAACGAATGCTCGACTAGAGGGTGTGTTCAGGTTGTGGTCCAAACGGATCCTCGCTACACGTGATTTACGCGCTTTAGTCTGTGGAGGAACTGTTCATGGTGATGACCTTCCAGCTGATCTTTCTCCTGCATGTCTGGCTGAAACTCTTCATTCCTCTGTCTCTGTGTGTGTGTGTGTGTGTGTCCCATCCTGTGGTGTCGCTCTTCAGCCTTTTATTAAACTTTGCTTCCTCACACACACGTGTGTGTCTCTGCTTGGTCTTTCTCACTCCGATGTTTGTCCTCCTGCAGGACAGTGTCCCAATGGCCTCTCCTGCTTTCCTTCTGTCTCTCTTTGTAAGTATTCAGGTCCTCCCTCAGACCTGACCAGAACCTGGCCCGTCTCAGAGCAAACACCACCCACACCCACAACGCCACTCACCGTCTGATCTTATTGTTTGGTTTTTGGGTTATTTCTGTCTTTGTGCCTAAAGAAACAAGACAGAAATGTGAGCAATTTTGTGAATATTTATCATCTCATTGTCATCCTCATCGATGTTATTGGACCTGAGGACCTTCTCGGTTTCCTTGCTTGTTATTTTGGCAGAAATCAGTCGTGTAGTCTGTCTGATTTTGCAGTTTCACTGAGGCACCATGAGCCGGCTCCAGTAACCCTCCATCATTCCAGCTTCCTGTTTCTTTTTTTGGTTCAGTTGTCCGTGCCTCTGCATGTTCTAATTTCTCCTCCTCTTTGATTTCTGGTCCTCCCTGTACGTCCTGCCCCTCATCTGAGGAGGAAGCCCTCCGAGGTGGACCGTGCTGTCATTTTTATTTTGTGTCTAGCTCGGGTCACATCACACAGCTCTTCAAATAAAAACTTTCTTCCAGTTTACCAGGAATGTCTGTCCTCACACGTGTTTCTGCTGCAGGACGGAGGCACCAGGGGTCGCCGTAGCGCCATGGAGGCCGACCTCAAAATGAAGAAGTAGAGCGAGCTTGTTGAGACGCCGTGCACCAGGAGCCTGGTTTAAAAGGTCGATCACAGCGAGCTGGATATTTCCTGGAGCAGTTTGACTCCGTCATGTTTCTCCGCGGAGAACAAACTGGATCTTTAGATTAAAGGAACCAAACCTTTTCACCAGCAACGCTTGTTTGGGATCAAACCGTGAAGCTCAGGATGAGTTTTGCCCGTTAGATTTGATGACATTGAATGTTTTGTACCTCGTCTCTTGAATGAATCCTGCACCAACTTGTGCCCAGCTGACATCGGCTGAAAACACCAGACGGCAGCGACATGAAAACAAATGGAGCTCCGCTAAAACGTTCATTATGATTCATTAAGACTTCATCGTTCTCTGGGTTATCCAGGGTCTGTCTCGCTGATCAGGAGTGGCTCGGTTTGATCCAGTCCGCTGGCCAGGACAAACAAGTGCATGATTTATGAATAAAATCCACATAATCATTTAAGCAGACCCTTTTCAAAGCATGACTTCAGATGGAAGTTAAATCTGATTAAACAGATTAGTCAGGAAAGGGAAATCAGGAGTTTATGTTGGATTTATCTCAGAAGCTGGTGAGTCTGTCTGAACCAGAGCTCAGCAGTTCCTAGTGAGAAGATAACCTAACCAACCTCTAGGTGTTATTAAGCCCTTCACCAAGTCTGGACAAGGTGGGCCGAGTTTGTTACTGCTGGTATTAGGATGTAGTCTCTGTGTGTGTTCACGTTGTAAATGGTTTTAGACCGCTGTTGGGATGTTTTAGATGGACATCCAAAGTTCTGTACCACGGGAGGGTCCTTAGTCCGAGTGGCTGCATCATCATGTTCTGTGTGTGTGTGTTTGTGTATACATTTATTTGTTAAAGATTTGACCTAAAAGCTGAGGTCAGAGTTCATTTAATGCAGGATTTACTTCAGAAAACTACGGATTACGGACTTCAGTCAGCGACAGAATTTTACCATCGCTGAGTCTCACTGATCCCTGAGTTCCCAGTTTCATGATGCAGGAGAGGTTTCTTATTAAAGCCGAGTTTCAGTCTAAAGCATCCTCTGGTCAGTGATACTGTAGTAAAGTACCGTACACAGGACAGTGTAAATTATTTATTTAGCAGCTTTATAAATACAAAAACAGAATTCAGGAGGGACCAGCACCTTCCTGATGGAAATTAAGATCTTCAGTGTTTCGAGTAAATACTGACAATCTTAACGTGCCGTTTGAGGACCTGCTCAAAGTTCATGTATGAATAAAAAAATCTGAGCATTTACAGTGCATGACAACTTCTTGTACACTAGAAAAACCAGAATGAGTCGTCGCTTCACTTCTCGCTGAAGTCCTGAACAACAGGACTGGCAGAAGAGTAGAGCTTCCTCTTCACCAGCCGGTACTCCGGTCTCAGCTTCAGAACCTTGTTGAAGATGTGTTTCAGAGACGGCCAGCCGTCCTCCTTGTCCACCTTGAGGACCACAGAAAGTTCAAAGGTCGGGGTGACACTTGGATCAGGAAAGAAAGTCCCCACAGTCTTCAGGCCATCTTTGTCGTCGACGTAGAGTGCAATGGAGGCCCCTCGGAGCCCACAGGGCTCGTCCGATGAGGAACAGAGGATGTGATGGCCAATCCTGGTGAGCAGGTGACGGGGCAGCAGCACCACCTGGCAGAGGAGGGTGGAGGTCTTCGCCTCCGTCAAGCAGCGCTCCAACTGCTGGGTCACATTCTGGTGGAGGAGCCGTTGTTCATCCTCCAGACCGGGGTCCAAGTTGGTGACTAACGAGATAAAGAGTTGACAAGTTAATTCACGTTTCTTTTGTAAAGTTTATAACCGGTCTCAGCGATATCGTAGGAGGGGAGTGGCTTAGGCTTTCCCATATGTGTGATGACAGGTTTGTTTAGTTTTAAAGAAACCGAAGCAGCCCCAACACTCGGAATTAAATATTTGGTAATTATGTTAAATTGTTGAATCTCCTCAGACTGTTGGGCCACCCCTCAGACTTCCTGGCCCCGCCCCTGTCAGGTGACGACATCACCCGAGTCAGACTCAATCAGCTGACGGCAGGCTCACCGCTTCAGGTGAATCAGACTTTTCCAGACTTATTTACCCCTAACTAGTTTCACACGAGTCTTTCTAGACGGTGAGATACTTCTGAACTGGTTTAAACCTGCTTTTGAGAGGACAGAAGGAAGACCGCTCTACACCCCTCTAGTAAAAACCAAAATCACTCACAAGAGGAGCAGTTTTCTCTCTCGTCGTAGCTGTCGACGCTCCCCCGCCGGACCGAACTCATCTCTCGGGAGGCTTTTTGTCGGAAGGAATACTTTCCGATCATGTCTTCCTCAGACAGCAAGGACACTCCGTGTCCGAAAGGCGTAGCTGCTGTGTAAACCATCCTGACTCTTCTCTCTGAAGCTCCGGCGCGTGCCCCGAGTCTTGTCTCTCTGTAGCATCCATGAATGAGTCGAGCTGCGCGGCCGGGTCGACTGCGCTGAGCCTTTATACCGAAGGCGCCGCCGCTTGAGTCAGCCGAGGATGGGATGGGCGGAGCTAAAAAAACTGGATTCATCCAGAAACTTCCTGGTTCACGCAACGTGACCGCGGGTTGCAGAATGGGAGGAGTCACGTGGGTTACTAACGGTCAACTTCATGAAAGCTCTGTGAGAGATTTCATCAGTCTGAAACAAACACACCCGTGGTTTTAATTCTTCATTTAGAATAGAATCGAATAGACTTTATTAATCCCACAGTGGGGAAATTCATTCGTTACAGGAGCACATACACTTAGAGAAAATGAACAAATAATAAAGCAAAGGTAAGCACACAGTCATAAGCTATTATTGTTACCTTCAACCAATAAAAAACTAATAAAAATAGAAAATGTAGTTTCTAAAATTACACAGCATAAGACATACTGCACAAGCCTTGAACACATACTGAATATTGACGTTGGCGTGTGTAAAGGGATAATAGTGATGGGAATTCCAGTTCTTTTTAGAGAGCCGGCTTTTTCGGCTCCCAAGTAACTCCTCAGATTTTCTGTTGCGTACAGTACATTTATAACCAAAATAATGCTAAACTATATGTAAAATGATTTACTAATGTAAGAAAATGCAATATATCAAATATTTATCTTTTCTATGGATTTATAGCACTTTAAGAAATCTCCACTTTCCGACTGCCGGCGCTCATTTTCTCACCGTATTCGTCGCACTCTCCTCTCTCTCGCTCACCATTTTCCTCCTCATTCCCTCTCGTCTCCCTCCACCTGCATGTGCTCTGCTGTGTGTCTGAGTCTGATCCTCCCTCTTCCCCACCCCTACTGCTCTGTGTGTGGACGGTCTGGACACGCAGTTACACATGTTGACCAATCGCCTGTAGCTTTCACCAAAGCGGGGGGGGGGGGGGGGGGGGGGGTGCGCTCCCGTCGACGAGCCGGCTCCCGTCGTTCACTTCAAAGAGCCGGCTCTTAGAGCCGATTCGTTCACGACCGACACGGGATAATGCCAGTATCAGTTAAGCTGAGGAGTTGAACACTCTTACTGCTGAGGGAATCGGTCTGTGGAGCTATACATGGCCTCCACAGTGGAATAGAGTTGGTGGGATGGGTTTTACCCATCGACATACATATATGGACAATGGGTTTCCATAGGCTCCAATAATAAGTTTTTGCACTAAAATGGGAGGTGGCCACCACCGCCAATTTGACCGTGTCACAGGTTCCGTCAAGCCCAGACAATTCCATAAAAGGGAAGAGAGGTGGAGCTGAGGGTGGGGCTGTAAGGCTGGGATCAACTGAAGACACCCGGTCGAACTAGCTACAAGCTAACCTGAAGCTAACCCAAAGCTAATGCGGAGGTGGGAGCTAAGCTAAAGGAGGTAACAACCTAGCTACAACCGGAGTTAACTGTGCACAACACCAGAGCTTCTGAGTCAGAGACACGCCGGGCTGACCGCTGGGTAAAACCGGGTGGAACACAGAGGTCTCGGAGACCTCCACAAGCCGGCAGCCGCACAGCAGACAAGCGCCGCTGCGATCTGAGATGCGCAGAGCTGCTGCTGGGGAGAACCGGGTGGAAAGGTTTCCATCCCAGAGCTCCACAAGCCGTCAGCCCGCGCATCAGACAGAGATGCACCGAGCTGCAGGGAGGGGAGAACCGGGTGGAAAACATCGGTCTCCCGAGAGCTCCACAAGCCGATAGTGGGAACCCAGCTCCACCAACATGTTATATTTCAACCCATTTTCTAAAGTGCAGCATTATGTTAAATGCACTGGGTTTTACCCTGTTACATTTAAATTTCATGTTTAAACAGTACATGTTAAAATCTAAGCTCAGCTCGGCAGTGACCTAAAATACATAAATATAATTTTACTTACCGAAAAAATGAAGTGGAGACTCCTTGGACGCTCTATTAGTGCAATTAATGCCACAGCAAGTCATTTTGTCCAACAATTGCACAAATAATATCCAAACAAGAATACACACACACAGAGACTCAAAATCCCGGAGCAGTTTCCAGGTCAGACCGAGGCTCTACTGAGGCCTTTCCACGGAGCTAGCTCTGTGGTCACGTGGGTCTGATACTCATTAATTATACAGAATTTAAGCTTTTAATACACTTAAACAGAAGCCTGAGAAAAAAATTCACCCCCCTCAGAGTTGTCATGAGTGTAAACTAGATCATTTAAACCTAAAACATGTTCTGGTACCAGGCTGTAAACATGTTTATTTCTGCTGTGAAATTGGTATTTTTAACATGGGAGTCAATGAGGATTTGCTCGCTTCTGACACCAGCCCCTAGTGGATGAGGGTGGAACTGCAATTTTTGGTACTTCCGGGTTGAGACCAATTTCTGAGCCGCATTGTGGGGGCTTGGTTTTACCAAGATGGAGGTCAGCTTCGCCATCATCCTCCTTTCACACATTTCCTCAACAAAATCTAGTTGGCAGCCCAGAATTGAGATGGCTATTTTAACTAGCTTGTTCAGTTTCTCCCTGTTGTGAGAGCTGCCTGCGTGCCAACACCCCAATATTTACTGGTGAGTGAGGACTGTTTCTCTGGAAGTCAACATTTCCCTTTGTCTCACTGGTGTTCAAGCGAAGGTGGTTACGCTCATGCCAGTCAACAAAGTCCACGATGACTGACCTGTACTCCAGGGGCCTCATTTATCAACCGTACAACTAAGAACGAAGCACATCGCGCCTGTTCATAGATCCCTACACTGGTTACCAGTAAACCACAGAATAAATTTCAAAGTTCTCCTACTAGTTTATAAATCACTCAATGGTATGGGACCAAAATACATGTCAGATCTCATTCCTGCATTTACACCCAATAGGGCTCGGAGATCCTTAGGAACCAATCAGCTGGTAGAACCTCAGATCAGAACCAAACAGGGTGAAGATGCTTTTAGCTACTAAGCTGCTCACAAATGGAATCCGCTCCCCCAGGAGCTCAGATCTGATCCAACTCTAGGGTTGTTTAAATCAAAACTTAAAACCCTAATTTACTCCTCAGCCTTTGGATAGTTTCTTATGCTGCATCGTTTCCACTGTAATCTGTGATGTAATTGCTCAACCTTACTTCGGTCTTTTCCTTTTAGCTCTAAATTATAATTTCATCTGTGTACATTTTTATTTGTGTTCTCCTGTTTGTTGTTGTGCCATGCTAATTGTAAAGCACATTGAATTACCCCTGCGTTTGAAATGTGCTCTATAAACAAAGCTGCCTACCAATGTAAATGGTCATGAAAATAAAGAAAACACATTGAATGAGACAGGTGTGTCCAAACCTTTGGCCTGTAATGTAGATGGTTAATGCAGTCAGATGTTCACTCCTGCACCCATCATCTTCTGCAGTAGAGATAGCTGGATGGTGTTGAATGCACTTGAGAAGTATAAAAACATGATTCTCACAATACTTTTTATTTTTATTTTTGCATCTCGAGGGGAGTCAGCACCCTTGTGCTGCAGGAAGATGAGGGCATCCTCCAACCCCATGTTTGCTTTACAGTATGTGGAAATTTGAGTGGGTCTATCTCTAGACTCACCATGGAGCATAGCGTAGTGTAGCAGTTTTTGGGGTTTTATGTTAAAGGTACTTTGGAAAGCAAATATGGAAAACAAATTAGCTTAAGAAATTGTTTTCATGCCTTTTAATAATGTTATAATATGGTAGCTATAAAAATATTGTGAAGATAAAAAAAAATTAATAAAGTAGTTTTCTCGTATTTGTCAAAAAACCTCAGCCAATAACACGATTTGGACCGGAAGAAACTATTGGACCATCCGGTTGTCGGTCTCACCAAACCGCCACACTTTTGCACTTCCCTGCCTCCTACAGTCATTGTGCACTTGCATATTTAGCAACAGAACACTACTGGTGTGAGAGGTTCTCCGATCAATAATATCAGAGAAGGGGAAACAGCCGGCTGCTACCACTTCAACTTTAGGGCAAACTACTAGAGGTACAAAAAGAAAAACACAATTGAAGTTGCGGACAAAAAAGACGTTTAGATGTAGAAAACGGCAGCTGGTGTTTAGCACTTTCTCATTTCCTCTGGCAATGTGGGTTTCTGGTTCTGGCAGAGCAATGCTAGTTTATTAGATACCTGCAGTATTAACAGGAGCGGAAATGCAAATGTTACAGCTGCTGCGTTGAAATTCACTAGTTTGGAGTGGGATAAAAACACAACATTCGTTTTAAGTTGACGCATATTTTGTGCGCAAGTGCTTTTGCATATCTGTGGTGTTTCCTTCCTTTGATGAAATATCTACTTTGTAAGTATTGCAAGTTGCCCTGTTGTCATCCTGTCTCATAAAGTATAATCAAACTTTTGAGCATTTGAACAGCTTGCCCCAGTTTCACACTGGAAGCATCTGCGGTGCGAAACGGCTGTAGAACGGTTCACCTGCAAACTTCAAAGCGGTCCATTTCACACCGGGAGTGTCTTCGCCGCGGTATGGCTTCCTCGATGAACTTGCAAGTTCACAAAGTCCCTCAAGATTTTCACCATCCTCCTCGTTACTCGCGAGATCGCAAGGTCCCTCAAGACGTCAAAGATCAGTTTGTTTATGCAATCCGCCATTAAACCAAAAAGAAGGAAATCATGTTTGAAATCGCTGTTTGAGGTACCATTACCATATATATATATATATATAAAATGTTGTTCTTCTCCACTGCCAGGATTAAAGCCCTGAAAAACACACAGTTGCACTTCTGGAACAACACTAGGAGTAAATAAGCCGTTGGGTCACACGTAAGCTACATATATATGAAATGACATCACAGCTATACTTTTATTTTGAAAATTACCGGGGAGCGAGAACTAATGTGAATTGCAGGACACACTGATCATCGACTCTTCGAACGCACCTTGCGGCCCCGGGTTCCTCCCGGGGCTACGCCTGTCTGAGGGTCGCTTTCCAAATGAAAAAAAAAAAAAAGAAAATTACCGGGGATTTACACTGAAACTTTTTGTGATTTCCTGTCTAGCTCTATGTTAACTGTGGAAATTGATGTGTCCCAGAAGTAGCTCGTGGCAAATGTAGAACCTCACCCAATTTTTTTGCGGCGCAGCACGCCGCTTCTGGGACATGCCTGAAAAATGCCGTGTCGCAGCCGGTTTCAAACAAATGTGGCAGGGTGTAGAAACGAGGGCCTGGGCGGGATTCGATCCCCAGACTCCCGGGTGAGAGTCATGCACACTAACCTGTCAGCCAAAGGGACATCCCCTTGGCCAAGTACCCAGGGCGCATGATCAATCGGGACACTGTGACAGGACGCT